CAGAGTTTCTGATTCAGTGGGCCTATAGTAAGACCCTTTTGATGTCAATATAGATCTAGAGCAATTACTTTTGGGTGCTGGAGGGTGAAGTCTTCAGCTCTTTGGGCCCTTTTATGGTTTCCAGTTGAAAGCGCTATTAAAATACACCAGCTGAAACATCTTAACTTACTCTGATACTGATAATGATGACACACCTGATTTCTATTCTCAGTTTTACATTGTTTTTAGTTCTCTGTTCCTCAGCATACTGCTTTTGAATGCAGAGCTCGGTTTGAAGACAAAAAGAACAAGAAAATTACTAGGTCAATACTTACTGAACCAAATAATTCATCTCAAGTGAAAAGCATGCAACATATTTTCCAGTTCTATAATTTTCCCAGATTTCTCATTATTTCTTTTTACAGGTGAAAACTTGGGGTAATCAATTAAACAGTAAATCAAATATTGTGATCCAAATACTTTCTAACTCATCACGATTTGGGACAGACAAGTGCTGCGGACCTAGGGCCAACCTTCTCAGTGTAGGCAGTTAGTTGTGTTTGGGTCAGGGGTCAAATTCCGGTGTTCCAGTGCTAGCTGGAGGACATGCTTCATTTGTTTTGTTTTTTACCTGACCATTTTATTTGATGCCGATTATAGACTGTTTGTGCCCCCCTGCCAAATTTCTATGTTCAAAGCCTTAATCCCCAATGTGGTTGTATTTGGAGATGGGGCATCCAAGGAATTAATCAAGGTTAAGTGATATCATAAGGGTGGGGCCCTGATCTTATAGGATTCATGTCCTTATAAAAAGAGACATGATAAAGCATGATAAAGATCTTTCCACTCTCTCTCTCTCTCTCTCTGTGGGGGGAGGGTTGGGGGGGCACAGTGGGCTTGTCTCTCCTCATGCACACACCAAGGAAAGGCCCTGTAAGGACACTGTGAGAAGGTGGCCAACTGCAAACCAGGAAGAGGGATCTCATCAGAAACCAACCATGCTGGGCACCTGGGTGGCTCAGTTGGTTGGGCGACTGCCTTCGGCTCGGGTCATGATCCCAGAGTCCTGGGATAGAGTCCCGCATCGGGCTCCCTGCTCGGCAGGAAGTCTGCTTCTCCCTCTGCCCCTCCCCCCTCTCATGCTCTCTCTATCTCATTCTCTCTCTCAAATAAATAAAAATCTTTAAAAAAAAAAAAAGAAACCAACCATGCTGACACCCTGATCTCACACTTCCAGCCTCCAGAATCATGAGAAAATAAATTCCTGTTGTTAAAACCATACCCGGTCCATGGTAGTTGGTTATGGCAGGCCAAACAGACTACTACAAAGTTTACATGCTATCAATCCAGATTGTTTTTAAAAACTCTGAACTGGTCGTTGTGCTGGGTATTTTCCATTTGCTCCTACAGACCCACTCTCCACCATTCTCCCTCCTCCATTTACCCTAATTGGGGTATTTCATCTGCTTTCTGTTAGAAAAACTGATGAAATGATTGTCAACATCTTAAAAATTGAGAGATTCTGCATGAAAATAAATCTGGATTGTCAGGTAGTCATGAGAAATTAGAAGATTTCACAACAATGCTGGCAACGATGGACTGGCACCTCCCTTTTAGACTGGGCGTTAGCTCTCAAGCTGGCCACAGCTCCCACTTGGCATACTTCACTCGATTACTTTACCAGGCTGGCTTCTGTGGCCATCTGAGAACATGATCCCTATTCCTCCTGAGATGATGGGAAGGGCTGAAAAGTCCAGATGCTTGGAAATCTCTATTACTGGCTGCTGTAGGTGTTGCTGGTCACAGCTCACACTTGCAACCTTCCTAGTACACTGTCCTTGGGTGATCAAAACTGCTTTGCTTGGGAGTGCCTAGGAATTTGCCTCTTTCCCAAGGCAAGACCAGCAATACATTCTAAGCTGGATACCTCTATCTTGGAAGGAGCAATCATTTATGCTAATCAGGACTGACACGTCTTCCAGAGATGGGCTGGCCTTTACAACACACAGTTCTGGTTCATTGGCTTAGTAGCCTGCATAGCATTACTTTGGAACAAGGACCCACTTTATAACCAAAGAAGTGCAATGGTGAGCACAGAACCATGGGCTCTACGGGTCATGCCACATACCACACCATCCAGAAGCTGCTGGTATGACAAAGCAGTGGAATTACCTCTTAAAGACACACAGCTGAGGCCCTACTCTTTAACAGGCAGCATAGAATCTTAACTGATGGTGATTGTATTGGTCTTGTGTGCCTTATAACTAGAAAGTATGGGTCTGGTACCCAAGGGGTGGAGGTAGAAATGACCCCATTCACCATCACTCTCTCCACCCATGATCAGCTTGAGGGAATTTTAGTCTCTGGTTCTTGGAGGGGAAATGCTTCCTCCAGGAGGTTGCAGGAAAAGTCACACCAAACCTAAAGCTTTGGCTGCTATCTGGGCACTTTTTGGGCCAGATCAATGGGCGAAGAAAGGAGTTCCTACACTGATGAGGGAATCTGACTCTGCTGCAAGGAGGTAGGACTATTTCTACGTAAGGAGGGGAAGGAGGAATGTGTATAGCACTTAGGGGATTCACTGGGCCGTCTCTTGACACTCTTGGGTTGTCTTACTGTAGCCAGCCACCATGACCATGACCTAACATAGGCATGGTACTCAGAGGCTCAGGACCCTCAGGAAGGAGGGTCGGGGTCTTCTATAGATTTTCCTGCACAAGGATTCTCATCTCAGGCTTTTTTTCTAGGTTATCCTAAGACAACCTTCTACCCTAAATTATTGTCCCTCTCCCTAATACTATATTAAAACTTCCTGTCTTTCAGCTAACACCTTAAGGGGATTATGTTAGTTTGCTGAGTAGGATCTCAGGGGCATCCAGAGGAAAGAGTGGCCCACTTTATGTCACTGAACATTTTGCCTACGAGCCCTGAGGCATCTGCATATCTTGAAGGCCCTGGAGGCCTATAAAACTATAGGAACAGTTACTCCTGTTGCAAGCAAAACGAAGAACATGGTTAAGCTAATTATCCAGGAGCCTGAATGCATTCTGAATAAATAACGAAGAATAAGGTAGCTGTGTTTTGAAATCAAACTATTTAAATCACTTCTTAAGTGCTCTACTTCATATAGCTTGTGTAGATCTGAATCACAACCTTTTGAAATTGGCAGTAACACTTTATATATTAAGTTTTTTTAGAAGGGGGGAGGGACAGAGGGAGAAGAAGAGAGAATCTTAAGCAGGCTTCACACCCAGCATGGAGTTGGACGAAGGGCGTGATTTCAGAGCCCCAAGATCATGACCTGAGCTGAAATCAAGAGTCGGATGCTTAACTGACTGAGCCACCAAGGCACCCCTAAGCTTTTTTTTTTTTCAGAGCCTGACAGACCTGAAAAATATGAGTTTAATTACTACACAAGAATTTTCCAAGTTAACAACTCTTAGTATAACTCTTTTTTATGCCAACTTGCAAATAAATTCCAAACTGTGATATTCTTTCTCTTCCTCACTTTCCCACTTCAGTCATTTCCCAAATATTAACTATTTCATTGAGTGAGAGTAAACTCTGGGATACAGAGAGAAATTCTTTTCTTAAACATATCTTGTTATGCTTGTCCCTCAAACTGTTGGAACAACTGGTAGTAACACTTTTGGCCTTTACAAATGGCTTTATACAAACACAAAGCACACAACAGAGAAAACGGTGGTATTTACAATGACAGGGAAATTCTAATTCTAAAAATGAAATTTCATTTTATTGGTAATAAAAGTAATAGATGTTGGTGTTTTTCCATAACAGTTACCCAAACTACTTAGTTTTAATATCAGAATGACATTTATTTTCCTCTAAGATTTCCTCTGGAAAAAAAGGCAAGCATTCCAAAAGTGTTTCTACTTTTTTCTTGAAACTATAACACATTATTTGGAAAATAAAGATGTTCAGTGTTTAATATTCAGTTTTGGAAAAGGTTTGTAAATTCTGCTTTAGAAATTATACAAAATCTCTTTAAAGTTTAATTGAAAGCATTATGCTTTCTCCAAATTTTGCTTTAATTGTAGAGGTTTTTCTCAGGGAAGTCTTGGGCTTCTTCAGCTGCGTCCATTTGGAAAGTACTGTAAACTCAATTTGATTGTTATTTGATGTGATTTTTTTTTCAATTGCCTCTCTCTGTGTGATGTTACTCAGTTTCAGAACAATTTTATTTTTCAAAACTCTCTCTCTCTTTCTCTTCCCCTCCTTCCTCTCTCCTCTTCCATTCCTGGACAATTCTATCTGAATGCTGTTCGGTGAGGCTGAACAAGTCAGTCCTGTGTTTTAAACACAGGTGGCAGCCAATAATGGCCCAGAACAGGGTGCTAAAGCCCGAGAAGGTGAGGAGGACATCCATGCATGCAGGCACCCACAATGGGATGACGGAGCCTGAGTTGGGTGAAGAAGGGCCGCCGTGGGGGGTGAGAGCCTGAGCAGTCTGAACAGATCATTCTCGTGGGGAATGGTGGCCCAGAGCAGGGTACTGAACCCTGAGCTGAGTCAGAAGGACATCCATGCAGGCGTTAGCCCAACATGGAATGTCAAGTGAGGAGAGTGTCTACACAATTTAGAGGGTGGGAATAACTGACACAGAATTTTAGAGCCTGGACAAATTGGAACTGGTCCCCACAGTTGAGGAAGGGGGAGAGGTTCTGTAGCCCTGGCCTGGTTTGCCACATCAAAGTCAGAGTTTGTGTTCACACAGGGTAGCCCATAACAGGGTACTGGAATCCAAACAGGTGAGGAGGAGGGCATCCACATGGGGAGTGTGTGTGGGGGGTGGGGAAGGGTGTTATTGAATTGTTTGCTAGGATTTTGTTGAGATTTTTTGTATCTATATACATCAGAAATATTGGCCTATAGTTTTCTTTTCTTGTAGTGTCCTTGATTGTGGTGATCATTTCACAATACATATATGTATGAAATCACCACACTGAACACTTTAAACTTACACAATGTTATATGTCATTTATATATCAATACATCTGGGAGACAAAAGTGCCTTGGTCACAAAAATCAAGGAAAGACCAAAGAACTGTTCTGATTTGACATAGTCTCTGGAGATAACTAAATGCAACGTGGGATTCTGATTTGGTTTTCTATACAGAATGTTATTAGGACATTTGGCAACACTTGAATGGATTTTGAGAATTAAAGCATCATAATAAAGCAATGTTAGTTTCCTAATTTTGGTGATGACATTGTAGTTATGTAAGGGAATGTGCTTGTTTGTAGGAAATATACAATAAGGTTTTGGGTATGATAAAGTATCCTACCACCAACTTATTCCCAAATGGTACAGAGCAGGAAAAAAAAAAAAAGAGAGAGAGAGAGAGAAAGAAGAAGAATTCTTAGTACTGTACCTGCAATTTTTCTGTAAATTGAAGACTGTTTCCAAGTCAGAAATTTTTTAAAAAATTATCTCTCATGACTTTTAATACAAAAGAAAAAAACATTTTCTTATAATTAGAACATGCTGTTCAAATTGCCACAATAATGGATTTTTCAGGAGGCTCTGAACAGCAAGGAGGTGAGGGAAAGATGTGAGGGAAAGATGAATAAGAAGTCCAAAGACAGTGCAGAGGACAAAACTTTCTCTTCATCCTAGTGCTGGTCATGCATACTCAGTAGAGTAAAAATATTACCCGAGGCCTCTTCCCTCTTCCTGTCTGAATTTCTCATGACAGATCAAAATGTGTTTTAAGCACTGAATGGAAAATTAATCAAACAGGATAAAAATACATAACAGAGATTTTTCCCTCTTCTATTAGTCCCCATGGTTTTTTAGTAAGGTGTGCAACTGCCTAAAACCAAAACTTGGTGCCATTCACCCAATGAATTCGAGGAACTGACTTATATGAAAAGCTGTGAGATGACCACTGAGTTTAAATCACATGGGCCCTGACAGCAAAGTGATTAAAGTCAAGAATGTAGAAAGCAGTCTCCATTCAAAGGGCTAAAAGTCTGTCCTAGGCAGAAACACATCCAATGAACGGGTCCATCGCTGCCTCTGCAGGTTTTATTCTTTGATTTTTAAAACGTTCTGATTTTTCGAAGTTTGCTCTATCATGTAATTCTTCCAATATAGTATTACATCCGGGAATCGTCAGAAAGGAAGTACTTCGCCATTTACTACAAGACATGGGCAAAGGATTTTTGAGAGGTTAGTAAGAGGCAGGGATTCTGTTCTCTCTACAGGATTCCTGTAACTTAGGATTTCCCCTCCTATCACTCACCTCCTTCAAACTCGGTGAAAGGGCACTATATGGATACACTAATAGAATTGCATAACTGATCCAAGATAGCAAAATATATTAAGCTATGATTTATACTTAATTTTATTATTTTGTTATTATATACTTATTACTATATTATTACATAGTAGATAAATTATATAATCATATCTAATCATATATAAATTATATATAAATGCATTATATTTTTTGCAAATAGAAGGGAGCAGTGTGATAGGCAATGCAAAATGGTAGATAAGCTAAAAATAATACTGAAATATATTTTCATTCCACCTTCATTTGGGTGAAGTAAACATTTGATAATGCACACCACTTGAAAAATGATGAAAATGCAGGGTATGGGGTGGGAAAATGGGGAGGGAAAATGTGTGGGCAGGGTACCCAGTTGGAGAACATGGGTTCTGGATCAGACAGAACTAAGACGAAGTCTGGCTTCACCCCTAGTGGTTATCCAGCAAGTTACTTCATGTCTGCGAGCCCTAGTCTCCTCACCCATAATAGGAGTTACACTTCCTCATTCTAGCATTAAAGAGATAACGAGCAGGTAGTCTCTAAGTAGGCAACAAATGGTCACAATTTTCCAGAAAAAAACTGCCCCAGTCCAACCTCCCTTCTGATGCTGCCCACCAGCCCCAGCCCCCAATGCCCTTGCTCCAATAGTAAGGAGGACAGACAGCATTCAGCCTTGATTCGCAAAGAACTGCAACCTAGGAATAGTCCTCTTTCTCTCATCTCACTTCCCATCACATTCACAACCCGTTTGAGTGTATCACTGACACGTAGGAATTACGGATATAAAGTTCAGAAGTTTTGATATTATAAAATACTAACACATATAAGATTTTATTTTCAAAACAGGGTTAAACTAAGGTCAGCTAGTCACTGCCACTTTTTGTTTTCTATCTGAATTCTCTCAGACCTGAGTTACATCAAAAATCCAACTTGAGGTATCAGACATCAAAGCCCTTTTCACACATACGCACCCACTTCAGCATCCCTAGCAGGAGGGTGCAGTCCAAAGAATCCTGAATTCTTTTAATCCCGGAGGGTTTACTGACTCAGCAGAAGTCCTAGAGGAACCTTGCACTTGGACCTCTCTCTTCCCACCGCTTTATCCTTAATGTCTGCTTTCCTCCTCCTCCTGAAGCTATCATGTCAGATTGTGACAGTATCTTGACCCTGTTCTTCTGCAATTTTTGTAAAATGCTTTAATTGCTGACGACTGCAATTTCTTCTCACATGTGCTTTCAAAATCTTTGCTTGTGAAATTATCTTATCTGTGAAATTGTAGCTAATCTAACTTCCTAAAACAGTCCTCTCATTCTGCCCTGTTTTGTATTTTATGTAAAGCCAAGTCAAATTCAGAACCACCCTCTTTCTAAATTTTGATTATACATGAGGATATCTTTGTAACAAGCCCTATTTATTTGGTTCATTCAACCCATTTTCTTTTTCGATCACTCAGTACAGATCTGAGTTGGGAGGTGGTCTTCTACTGAACTTGCTGTAAGTACAAAACATTTATTTCAGCCACAGAGTTTCGCTTAGCATGGAATATTGCCTTAAACATTTATCTCCTCAGCTGGTGAGGATACTCTGAGAATTTCCTAATGTTCTTGTAAATTAAGGACATCCCAAGATCTATTTCAATGAGGTGATTTTCTTACTCCATATTTGCTTAATTTCATGCGTGCAATCTAGTATCCTATTAAGGAAGATAATGTCTGTGGATGAGATAGAAGACAGTAAACAAATTGGCTTCTTAAATCTTCAGGCAGTAAACAAAGACTTCCAGTCTGAGCTCTTTACCACGAACACAAATAACCCTAAACATGCAAATCTGTGTTGGTAAGTCTGAAACTCCCATTCCCTCCAACACATAGAATGCCTGTCTTTCCCTTAGAAGTGACTGTTTAGCTGCTCATGCTATTGTTACCATGTAGTTATCCTTTACCTTCACAGAAAATGCTTTCTGCTCTGTCTTCTGGTTTACTCAGATTTTTTTTCTTGGATAGTTTCTGTTTCTGGGTCTCCTCTTCCCCCAGAAGACATTTCTTTCCACAGCAGAGGAAGGGCCTTGGGTCTGTGCAGAAGAATCACAGAATTTGTGACTTACGGATGGTGAAGAAATTCAAGAAAGAAATTGAAGAGAGATCATGTTGAAGATCATCTCATGTTGGCTATCTTCAGGTATTTTTTTTTTAAGATTTTATTTATTTATTTGACAGAGAGAGACACAGCAAGAGAGGGAACACAAGCAGGGGCAGAGGGAGAGTGAGAAGCAGGCTTTCCGAGGAGCAGGGAGCCCGATGCGGGGCTCGATCCCAGGACCCTGGGATCATGACCTGAGCCGAAGGCAGGCACTTAACGACTGAGCCACCCAGGCGCCCCTATCTTCAGGTATTTAAAAGACTCTTTAACATATATTGATTATTTGTTTCAGAGGTACAGATCTGTGATTCAACAGTCTTGCATAATTCATGGTGCTCACCATAGCACATACCCTCCCCAGTGTCTATCACCCAGCCACCCCATCCCTCCCACCCCCCACCACTCCAGCAACCCTCAGTTTGTTTCCTGAGATTAAGAATTCCTCATATCAGTGAGGTCATATGATACATGTCTTTCTCTGATTGACTTATTTCGCTCAGCATAACACCCTCCAGTTCCATCCACGTCGTTGCAAATGGCAAGATCTCATTCCTTTTGATGGCTGCCTAATATTCCATTGTATATATGTTAAAAAAAGAAGAAGAAGAAGAAGATAGCAGGAGGGGAAGAATGAAGTGGGGGAAATCGGAGGGGTAGACAAACCATGAGAGACAATGGACTCTGAAAAACAAACAGGGTTCTAGAGGGGAAGGGGGTGGGAGGATGGGCTAGCCTGGTGATGGGTATTAAAGAGGGCACGTTCTGCATGGAGCACTGGGTGTTATGCACAAACAATGAATCATGGAACACTACATCTAAAACTAATGATGTAATGTATGGTGATTAACATAACCATAAAAAATTAAAAAAAAAAAAGACTCTTTAACACGTGCCCCTGTGACTTGACATTTGGGGGAACTATTTGAAACCAATGTTTTATTATATTTCATCTGTGGCATATTACTAAATATGATAGGGTTTCTTTTAAATGATATTTATTCAGACCCCTCATTGAACCCTACTTTCAGCTCCTGGGGATACCTGCCTATTTTTCTGAGGTACCCCAGGACCTCTAAAGTGATTTTTATGATATACCACATAACCTAAGTTTTAAATCAGACCTTTCTAAACAGTACCTTACAAATTTTGTGGAAGTCTATCTAGGCATTTTCACATAATCTTCATGAATAGAAAAACTAATTTTATTTGAAAAAATTTGTATGGTCTTAAAAGTGTTTTTCTCATGGCACAGCCTCCTCCTCCCCAGGAAGGGGTAGAGAGAGCAGATCTTTGGTGCATCAGATGCTGTCTTAGCTGCTTTCTATACGTCATCCCAGATTTCCTCACAACAATCTAATGAATTATATTATTAGCCCTGTTTTGCACTTGAGAAACAAAGCCTCAGAGATATGAAGTAGCTCAAGTGGCCGAGCTGGGATTTCATCGGATTCTAATGCTCATGCTGCCTTGAGGGAACACACGTTCTTTAAGGAAGTGTTTCCCTTCCCAAAGAACATCTCCATCTAGAATAGAAAAGGAAAGAGGGAAACCAGTTTATCCTGAATCTGGAGGGAGGACAAAGCTCTCATTCTCCCAAGCTTAGGAGAAAAAAAAAAAAAAAAAAATATATATATATATATATATATACACACACACATATATATATAGTAATAAATTGCTTTTAGTGAAATCTATAAGAGAGATTGTAAGACACCATAAGCTGATGGCTTTGTTTAAATAATATGAGCACCAAACATGCAAATATTTATCACTGTCACTTTCTTATAAAAGCCGCACACAGAATTTTTAAAATGATTATTACACACATCTGTTCCACATCAGTAGTCTTTCTTCCTGTTGGCAGCACTGACATCACAGCATCTTTGTCTGCTATAAGGCACCTCTCTAATTCTTACATGAGCATATAAGGGAACAAAATGGAAGGAAAAGAAGTGTTTGGACATGGTTTGGGGGCCTGGAGCAGTCTGCAGATGAAAAAATTGAGAATCCAGAGAGAAAGTGCCTAACATTTCAGATGGTTGAGGTATCCAAGGCAACAGAGCTGTAGAAATACTCAGGGATAAATAAATTTATAGATTATAATGTTAGTGATGTTAAGATTCTAAGAAGGCCCAATCCAAACTGTTCTATCTGTAATTGATCTGTTGCCTACCAAATGGTTGTTTTTGTTGTTGCTGCAGCTGTCTTTTTTTTTTTTTACTTTACTCTCCAAACTGTGAAATAATTACTACTGTGTTTATACAGATTTAACAGTGAGTTAAATAATCAGTCTGCAGAATTAGAGATAGACTCAACACATTGGACTTGGCAAATTGCTTTTTGACTATTTTTCTATAACTGTTAAATCTGCATTATATATTTAACATGAAAGGCTTAAATGTGTATTTGTGAGTCAACGTAAAATATGTCCATTGTGGAAGACAGAAAATGTCCATGTCCTAAAGCCCCCAGAACTAGTGAATATGTTAGGTTATGTGCCAAAGGGGAATTAAGGTAGCCCAGATAGAATTAAGGTTGCTAATTAGTTGACCTTGAATTGGGGAGATTATCCAGATGGGCCTAAAATAATCACAAGAGTCCTTATCTGGGGAAAAGGGAGAGAGAAGACAATATCAGAGTGATTCAATATCAGAAAGACTCAATTGACAATTGCTGGTTTTGGAGATGGAAGGGAGCCCTGAGCTCAGGAATGTTGGCAGCCACTAAAAGCTGGGGGTTGGGGGGCCAGGGGGACAAAAACAAAAACAAAAATGGATTTTTCCTATCATCTCCAGAAGGTAATACAGCTCTGCTGACATCTTGTTTTTAGCCCAGTAAGACCCATTTCAGATATCCCTCCTCCAGAGCTATAAGATAATACATCTGCGTTGTTTTAAGCCACTAAGTTTGTGGTCATTTGTTACAGCAGCAACAGGAAACTAACACAGCTAGTATTCTGAAACAAAATGTTTATCAGTATGAAAGTCTGGGTGTGTTGACTAACAAAGATATTTATATTTTAGATACTGACAAAAATATCACGGATTCCCAAAGGAAGTTTCAGTGCATTTAAATGCCCCTAAAGACTAAAACAAAAAACAAAAATGGAAGGAGGTGACTGGGGGTAGATGAAACAGGAATGTAGACCATTGAAAATTGTTGAATGGTTGGTGATGGGTTCGTGGGATTCATTATACCATCCTGTCTGTTTTTCTGAATGTTGGAAAATGTCCATAACAAAGTTTAAAAACATTTTAAGCTCCTTAATTAATTCTTTTTCAGAAGGAACACTTCAAGCAAAGCCACTACTATATAAATAAATTCTCTGCATTTTTTTCTCCTCGAAAGAAATCTAAAGACAAAAATCTAAACCTTTCCTCTTACAATTTAATCTGAAGCCTTTGGCACTGGTATATTTCCACTGGAGATTATTAATACCATATTTTCATAGCAGATGATTTGCTTTCTGCCTGAGTCTGAAATACAACCTCTCTGTGCCCACTCACAGAGAATTATGTGAACATTTTTGGTTCTACTAATCATAAAGAAATGCTCCTACTAACTGAATTTTCTGAAAAAGAAATAAAGAAATCAGCACAATTTACAATGGCATCAAAAACAATAAAATACTTAGGAATAAGTTTAATCAAGGAGGTGAAAGATCTCTTCTCTGAAAACTACAAGACATTGAAGGAAGAAATCAAAAAAGACACAAATAAATGGAAGGGCATCTTGTGTTCACAGGTTGGAAGAATTAACATTGCTAAAATGTGAATATTACTAAAGCTATCTGTAGTTTCAATGCAATCCCTATCAAGATTGCAATGGCATTTTCACAGAAGTAATAAGCACTCCTAAAATTTATATGGACCAACAAAAGGCCCCAAAGAGCCAAAAAAGTACTGAGAAAGAAGAACCAATCAGGAGGTATCACACTCCCTGATTTCAAGCTACACTAGAAAGTTATAGTAATGAAAATAGTATGGTGCTAGCATAAAAACAGACAGCCCAATGGAACAGAAGAAAGAGCCCAGAAATAAACCCAAGCATATACAGTCAAGCAATATTTGACAAAGGAGTCAAGAACACTCAATGGAGAAAAATAATCTTTTCAATTAACAGTACTGGGAAAACTGGATATTCATATGTAAAAGAATGAAACTGTACCCCTATCTTACACCACTCGCAAAAATTAATTTGAGATGGATTAAGCACTTAAATTTAAGACTAGAAATAAACTCCTAGAAGAAAACATAGAAATAAACCTCCTTGACATGTTCTTGGTAAGGATTTGGATAGGACACTTAAAGCACAGGCAACAAAAATAAACAAGTGGGTTAATGTCGAACTAAAAAGCTTCTGCAGAAACCGTAATAAAGTGAAAAAACAATTTGTGGAATGGGAAGAAATATTAGCAAATCATATATATAAGGAGTTATTGCCCAAAATATACAAAGAATTTATGCAACTCAATAGTAAAGAAACAATAACCTAATTAAAAAATGGGTAAATGATCTGAACAGACATTTTTCCAAAGAAGACATGCAAAAGGCCAACAAGTACACAAAAAGATGCTCAACATCACTAGCCAGTTGGGAACTGCAAATTAAAACCACAATGAGATACCACCTCATACCCGTCAGAATGGCCACCATCAAAAAGACAAGAAATAACAAATGCTGGCGTGGAAGTAAAGAAAAGGAAACCTCTGTGCACTGTTGGTGGGATTATAAGTTGGTGCAGCCACTATGGAAAACAGTATGGAAGATCCTCAAAAAATTAAAAATAGAACTGTCATATGATCCAGCAATTCCATTTCTGGAAAAAACATCCAAAGGGAATGAAAACACTAATTCAAAAAGTTACCTGCACCCCCATGTTCATAGCAGCATTATTACAATAGCCAAGACATCGAAACAATCTAACTGTTCATTGACGGATGAATGGATAAAGTTGTGGCATATATGTATATATTACAGAATATTATTTGGCCATAAAAAAAGAGGGAATCCTACCATTTGCAAGAACATGGATGGACCTTGAGGACATTATGCTAAGTGAAATAAGTCAGACAAATTCAAATACTGTATGATCTCACTTGTATGTGGAATCTTAAAAACAAACAAACAAACAAAAAACCTCATAGAAAATGAGATTAGACTTGTAACCAGAGGTGAAGTGTGGAGGGAGGGGGAATTGGAGGAAGTGATCAAAAGGTACAAACTTCCAGTTATAAGGTGAATAAACATTAGGGGCATAATGTACAACATGATGACTGTAGTTAACATTGCTGTGTGATATATAGGAAGTTGTTAAGTGAGTAAATCCTATGAGTTATCACAATTTTTTTTTTCTTTTCTTTTTATCTATATGCGACAGTGAATACGAGCTGAACCTATTGTGGTCATCATTTCACAATGTATGTAAGTCAAAGCATCATGCTGTACACCTTAAACATACACAGTGATGTATGTCAATTACTTCTCAATAAAATTGGAAAAGAAAAAAGGAAAATGCTCCCAGTGATAAACTGGTGAATCCAGAATAAATGTCTTCTGCCCATTTTTTTAACTGGATTATTTGTTTTCTGGGTGTTGAGTTGTATAATTTCTTTAGATATTTTGGATACTAACCCTTTATTGGATATGTCATTTTTCAAATATCTTCTCCCAGTCCAAAAGTTGTTTTTTTAGTTTTGATGATTGTTTCCTTTGCTGTGCAGAAGCTTTTTATTTTGATGAAATCCCAATAGATTATTTTTTCTTTTGTTTCCCTTGACTCAGGAGACATATCTAGTAAGAAGTTGCTACAGCTGATGTCAGAGAGGTTGCTGCCCATGTTCTTCTCTAGGATTTTGATGGTCTCACATTTAGGTCTTTAATCCATTTTGAAATTATTTTTGTGTATGGTGTAAGTGGTCCAGTTTCATTTTTTTTGCATGTGGCTGTCCAGTTTTCAAAAAACAATAAATAATCATATTGTTTCACACAGAGATTTTTGCCTAGAAGCAGACCTCCTTGTGGATCAACTAGAAGAATTAGCTTAGTCCATTGTAATAAAAAAAGAAATAAGAAAAGAAAAAAGTCTAGGATTATTTTTGGTGCCAGTATAATTGTAACTGAGGTTCCTAGTGCCTACATGATTTTAGTATCTATTGTATACTTTTTCCATCTCTGCTCTCTCTTGATTTTTCCTTTTCTTATGTCAATTAGCAGCAGTATTTTTCTGAGGAAGCAGGGCATCACTTTAAACAGTTGACATCTAACATCCTTATGGAAGTCACGTTTCCATGTCTTGAATTCATGTATTGTGTGGAAAGTAATTCATAGATTCTATGATTCTTGGCCATTATGTATACATATTCCCTTAAAATAAGTTTCTGTTCTTACAGACTTAGAAATTACGATCAACATTAAGAACCATGACATAAGTTTTATCTTCCAGTTCCCAGAAAATAGGAGACCTAAGATCCGTTCAGTATTTAAATAAGTCCAGGAAAGTTGTTTTTGTTTTGTTTTGTTTTGTTTTTACAAATGCAATAGTTACTCGTTTATCTTTTTAACACCACCACTACCACCCCCACTGAGAAACGTTTCCCTACATTTGACCTATGCAGTGTGAGAAGTTGGCCTCTGGTTCTCTTTGCTGGAGAAGGAAAACAGCTGGTAACCATTATGTATATTATACACCTTCAAACACTGCAAGACTGTTATTTAGTTACCTTTCTTCTCTCCTCCAAGATAAGCAATCCCAACATCTTTAACTCTTTCTTCTAAGTTCCATTTTCCAATCCTCTCATCAACATTCATAGTCTCTTCTGAATCCTCTCCAAATTTCAGAGTTCTCCTAAGATGTGGAACCCAAACTGGAGAGGGCTTTCTTGTAAAAATCTGACCCGTGTTGAGTAAGAGAAAGTACCATCTATTTATCCATCTGTCTATTTCAAGTTAAGTGATCAAGGAGGGACTACACCATAAGATCATAGATGTTGGGTGTATTTTGGTGCTAAAGTAGCATGAACATCAAACGCATGTTTTGTTTTTGCTTTAAGTTCTTGGCTTCAACAAGAAGGGACTTAAAGGGGACCTTAAGACACATCTAAAGTTAAATAGCAGACAACCTTTGGTCTAAATCAAAGGCAGAAGAATTCTGCTGACTCAGAATCATTACCTTTGAAACCACTTGTCTTACATGGTTAAGTGTTGATCACCAAATAGGAGGGTGTGAATGTGTGTGAATGTGTGTGTATGTGTGTGTGTGTGAGAGAGAGAGAGAGATTCAGTTATTTCTCATCACATATCTTTTTGCCAATCTTAAAATGCAGATAATTGCTTTATGGAAACTTAGCAGTTTTATTTGCTTTGTTTCATGAAAGAAGCCAAATTGCCTAATGACACCGAGTGAAATTTCCCATATTTTAAAGTAGAAATCTTATCCCATTTCCCTTTTGTCTTTCCTACTCATTTACTTTGTTCTCCCCTTTGTATCCCTTTATTTTCCCTGTTCTGCTTCTTTTCTTTCACTCCTTGTATCTTATATCTACATACATCTTTTGAATGGAGCAGGAAAAAAATTAGTAAAAATGGGGGGGCGATTTAATCAAGGACAGAAGAGTCACCACTGTTCACATTTGAGAACATCAAATAGGAACGATGGTATTAGGTACACACAACTTCCAAAACGTGAAGGTGTAGAGAAGCCAGGAAAGAAAGTTATCGAGTGATCAGGAAGATGTCACGACACCTCAGACTTCAACAGTTCAAAATTTGAGAAGCTTTTATTTCTAAGATCAGTTGTGAGTTGTATTTCATCAAAAATATAGAGTTTGGAATAAAGTCATCCGTTTTTATGATTCTCTCCACAGCCTAGGGGAGAAAACTCTCCCAGACCCTGCACTTCAAAAAGAAGCTCTGTTTATTCGTGTGGCTAAAGTGAGAACTAAGCCCTTAAGTCAGAGGACTAGAGACAGGCACCGCAGCTCTGACAGACCCCTGGCAAGCTGGCATCTTCACAGCCAACCTGCTTGGTAAATTGCTGTCTGAAAATATTATGTCTTGAGTGTAGGAATTCTCCAGGTGGAGTGTGTGTGGTGTTATCAGACAAAAATCTCTGTGTACCTGGACATGGTGTCCAAGTCTCTTCGAACCCCAGGTTTCGCACCGAGTTGTGTCAACATATGACTCAGAAAAGGCGGAAAGGGAAAAACAGGCACAAAGAAGGCAAAGCTTAGGAGAAAAGAGCAAATAAAAACATAAGCCAAAGTAAGCCAGCTTGGTTCTGAGGAGAACTGCGAATACTTTTGTTGCTGTTTTTAAACCAGTCAAAGGTAAAAGAGAAAGATGAAGCGATGTCTTCTCGTGAGGAGACCTCTCTGTTCATCTCAGGGGAACAAGGAGATAATCAGAAAATGTATCCAATTTAGAAAGAGAATTAACACTGCCTTTCATAATCCAAGCCATTGCCAGAAAACACCAATTATTTATATCCTAGTCTCTCAGCTTCAACAGGGACTTATGTTGAGTTTCCTGAACAGTTTATAAATACAGTTCACTCATTGTTTTTAGAAAATAATCTTGTGAGGCAAATCAGACGGTGTCTTTAGGGATAAATTAGACGTTGGTCTCTCACATAACTGAACCTCAGTGAAAAACAGTGACCTCAAATCGTAGGGATTGATACTTGCCTCAAATATCTTCGTGGTTAATTCTAGTCTCAAAGTATACTCACTTGAAATGAACATATCTGTATTATTAAAAATGCTTTTGTGATATAAGGAAGTTTTTATTTCTCTTACTGTGTGCTCAAATTATCTCCACCAGAGTGGGGCCTGGGTGGCTCAGTCGGTTAAGCATCTGACTTTTGATTTCAGCTCAGGTCAGGATCTCAGGGTCATGGGACTGAGCCCTGCATCCAGCTCCACATTCAGCGGGGAGTCTGCTTGAGATTCTCTCTCCCCCTGCCCCACCCCCCTGCGTACATGTGTGCGCGCGCGCGTGCGCTCCCTCTCAAATAAATAAATCAATCTGAAAACAAAGAATTATCACCACCAGGAAATGCTAACTGAAAGAAAAAAACAATCTTAATTTCCTTTCCAGTATACAACAGCAATGAAATTTCAGTAAAAATGCAGTCATTTCTGTTTCCTTGTAAATAAAGGCTATGAACCTGCTGGTCAGAGACTGAATCTAAAGTGAATTTTTTGTATAGTGCATAACTTACCGTGTATACTCAATAAAGCTATCAGCACACCTAAAGAGTGAATAAAACCTGAGTTAGACTCCTGGAAATAGGAGAGTGTGGTAAAAAACACCTAGAGAATTTGACCCATTTTACCAGACAATCCAGAAAATCCAATGTTCTCTGCTTTAATATAATGTGGAGTGGTTGATCAAATAACCCCAAACACATATAACAAAATCCTACCTCCCGATTCCCCTGGCTCTGCAGATGTAACCAACTATATAAATACAATGATTTAAACAGGAGGAAAAGAAGTCTGAACAGGGATGGTGAGATGGCAGTTGTCATTCAGTTAGGCATGACCAACTTAAGCATTTAATCAAGAGTTTTAAATTTTAATTGGAAACTAACAAGACATTTTCATAGATTTTTGTCTTTTAAATATAAAAACTAATGTTTTTCATGTTCTTTTATACATTTGATACAATTTTCCTAAACATGTCACATATGCTTCTAGTGACATTTTCTGCTCTGAAAAAGGGTAATGAAAAGTTAATGATTGTGAAATGCTAATGATCCACGAGGTCATATGTAATAAAATCTGTGTCGTTCAATCTGATAAACTGAGAAGGGCAATGAATGTGACTTTTCTAATTTTAAGTAGAGTATTATAGAATAAAACGAGTGTTGATCCCATTTCTTCTTCAGGACTTTTATTCTAGACATATTTTCCTTAAATAACATGGAAACAAAGGGTGTCCATGAACTACGTGAACACAGATTCTAATGGGCTGGAGAATCTTTCTGAGACTTCTCAGTTGCAAGCTGTGTTTTGTTTTGAGTAGTCATTGCCTTGCAGTAGACCTTCTGGGTTTTGCTGTTTCTTTGTTTGTTTTTTAATTGCTATGCCACATTTTTCAGAACTTGAAGATGGGTGGTATTAAATAACAAAATTCAACCAAGTAAATTTGAAGATATAATTGGTGCTTTTGAATGATCCATGAATCGGATAGCACCCTATCTAGCAACTAGAGAGGCATTCCAAGGAGTTATACAAAATGGAAGTTTGTTATAGAAGGACAGTGCGGGCAGAGCACCTGGGTGGCTTAGTTGGTTCAACCCTTGATTTTGGCTCAGGTCATGACCTCAGGGTCGGGAGACCGGGCGCCACATTGGGCTCTGCACTGGGCGTGGAGCCTGCTTAAGATTCTCTCTCTCCCTCTCCCCCAACCCCTGACCACTCGCCCACCCACACATGCTCTTTCTCACTAAAAAGGGAAAGAAAGAAAGAAAGAAAGAAAGAAAGAAAGAAAGAAAGAAAGAAAGAAAGAAAGAAAGAAAGAAAGAAAGAAAGAAAGAAAGAAAGAAAGAAAGAAAGAAAGAAAGAAAGAAAGAA